CTGCTATCTGCCTTTTATCCTGCTCTTTATTTACACTTCTGTTTTCTCATGTCAGAGAAACCATGGAGACTTATGTCTGTGCGTCTGATTTACCTCGGGTTCACATTCTGGTCTTGAGGTGCATCCATTTTCCTATGAATGACTGAGTTTGCCCTTCCTACGGCAGAGCAGCGCTGACATTTTGAAAAGAGCACATGGAAAGAACCCTAACTGCCGCCAACAGCCCGGCCCTGGGGTGTGACAGAGGCGGGTCTGGGGAACACGAGCAATAACCCACTGTGCCTGCTCCTCCATGGGGTGGGGTGGGGGCCAGAGCTCCCCGAGGGTTTCTGAGAGGTACACGAAATGCATCAAGCCCGTGCATGGCGGGCACAGCACTGCTGTGATGGATTCTCCCTTAAAATATTTCTTTTTTAAAAAATATTTCTGAGTATAAGTTGCAATTGCAAATATACCTTGAACTTGAAGCAACCTTTATTTGACTGTAATTGCACAATTTTCTCCACTTCAAAAACAGGTTCCATTGTTTTAATTTCAAAAGCAATGCACTGCCAAAGTGTATTGTAAAATAAATGATAAATCCCCAAAATAATTTTCAAAGGTAAAAAAATCGCCTATATCCCAACCACCCAGACTCAATCTTGGGGGTTCGCTTTGTACATTCCCCGACCTTTGAAGAACTATGCAGGCTTTTCCTGTGTTCACAATGACACAACTGATGCCGTTTCCCCCTGCCCCATACCAAAATCAACAGTTGTGCTCAAGCCCATTATATAAAATGGGATAGAATTTGCATATAGCCTATGTACTTCCTCCTGTATAATCTTTTGAGGTTTTGTTTTTGTTTTTTGAGACAGGGTCTCACTATAGCCCAGACTGGCTTCAAACTCATGGCAATCCTGCCTCAGCCTCCCAAGTGCTGGGATCACAAGAAGAATTGTAGAATTTTCCCCTCCTACTGGGAGAGGGAGAACTCACTGTCAGTGTGTTGGTTCTGGCCACTGTAATGCGCACTGAGGGGCATCTCATTGCAGTTTAAGGTGTGACTGACTCCCTCAGAGCAGCAACGTATGCACCCTTTCACGTGCTCAGCTGTTGACTTTTTTTAACCAAGTCCAACTGTGAGAACTCCCGGTGAATTTGGGTTACCAGTCTACTTTCAAGAGACACGTTCTGCACATGTGCCCTCCTCCATGGCTCAGCTTTCCGTTCTCTCGGTGTCTTTGGAAGAGCAGAAACTGTTAATATTAGTAAGTCCGGCTTATCAGTCCTTCCTGGTAGAACCTAGATTCTCTCCAGCGTTTTCTTCTAGGAGTTTCATAAGTTCACATTTCTTTCATATAGGTTTATGATCCATTTTGAGTTAATTCTACAAAAATATAAGATCTGTGTGTAGACTTTAATAAAAAATTTTTCCATTAAAAAAAAATTTTTTGGAGCGGTGCTGGGACCAGATGTGCATGCCCAGTAAGTGCCCCCACCCAGGAGCTGGAGCCCAACCCCTCTTCAGCTGACATTTGCATCCTACCCAGACTTGCCTTGCTGCGTCCTCTGCTCCATTTTTTTTATTTTTGGTACCGGGGATCGAATTCGGGACCTTGCGTTTGGGTGGCAGGTGCGGGAACCACTAAGCTAAATCCCCGGCCTCTGCTCCATTTTTTAAAACCATGTTGTTCATGACCAGTTAGGTGCATAATTTTCTCATTTAAAACTTGCGGTGGTGCACACCTATAATGGAAGCTTCTCAGGAGGCTGAGACAGGAGAATCGAGACTTCAAGGCCACCCTGGGCAGCTTAGTGAGATCCCACCTCAAAAAACAAACATAAAAATTTGTCTTTATCAATATTTGGAGGTGTAATTTACAATCAATTCTGCCATTTTAAGCACGGTTTGATGGAGTAGCAGTGAATGTAAACTGCATCCCTAAGGGCATCGCCACCACAAGGCTTGAGTCTTTTCCACCATGGCCCACCCTGGGCAACCACCGAGCTGCTCCCAGCACAGCTGGGCCCTTCACAGAGGCCCCACGTAACTGCAACGACACAGTGTGTAGGCTCTCGGGCTGGTCCTGCTCACGTACCCAACTGCAGCATCACTGCTGCAGGATCAGTTCCTGGAGCCCAGTCCCAGGAGCACGGAGCCGGGAGCAGCAGGGCGGGAGACGCTCGGCGCTGACATTTCCGAGCTTCCCACTCAGGGCTGACATTTCCAGGAGAGACCACGTGTGCACAGCTTTCTGGAGCCGTGCCTGCCGCTGGCATTTGGGTCTATTAAACTCAAAGCCATTCTGAAGACAGGGCACAGCTTTCTGGTTTTAGGAAGCAGAAGGGGAAAAACATCAGCTGGAAATGGCAGTGACAGCGAAGGAAAGGAGCCGCCAACTGGACAGAAAGGGTGACCGCTGGGATTGAGGGACTGGAGACCCACATCCCACACGTGACTGTGCCAAGCCCACCCCACCCTGCACACACCACCCCCACACAGCCCCGCATCTGGGCTTCCCCATGATACACAATTCGCCCAAATAAATACAGAGAAACCGAGTGTTGGAGAGGGAACTCGGGTCCCTTCCCACCTCTTCATCTGCCTCGGCCACAGAGCCATTGCAGAGATGGACAGCACAGAGTGCACCCCGGGCCAGGGGCCTTCAGGAGAGCGTGTGGCCCCTCAGAGGCTGGCAGGACAGAGGGACAGTGAACGCCAGAGCAGATACACACAGGGTCAGGACTCTGGAGGTCCCGGGTTCAGCCTTCCCGGTAAAGCAAAGGGTGCACAGAGGTTTCCTGGGCTCAGAGTGGACCCACCCGGCCACTGTCAGAGATGGTGGGGTGGGGTGGAGGTGTGGGCAGGACCCTGGGGGGTTGCTGGGCGGTGCTGAGCGACAGGGACATGAGCATGGGAGCCCAGGCCTAGTCCTTCTTGTCCCCTCTCCAAGCCTCTCAGGCCTGGCCTGGAAGATGGGACAGTCACAGTTACCACCCACGGAGCCTGGGCCAGCTCTCGGCAGTGGTGATGGTGGGTTCAACCGCACCGACCCAGCAGCACCCTGCCCAGCCTGGAAGCCTGGGGTGAGGACCACGCCAATGCCCCTGGGACAGGACACAGAGAAGTGGGTCACCCACAGCTGATTCCTGAGCGGTCCCCAGGCCATGCCCCAACATCAGCAGGTTCACTCCTTAGATGGAACCCATACCGAGGACCCCAGTAACAAGGGAGAAATGGGGTTCCCGGACAGCTGAGCTTGGTGCTGGCAAACGTGCTCACAGCTGCATCCCAGCACTGTCACCTGCCACATGGCAGGAAACACGAGGTTCGTTCCATCCAGCTGCAGGAGGAGGTGGCTGCCTGCGGATGCCTGGCCACCGCGGTCCTTCCTGTGTTAAAAGGCTGGGAGCCTTGGGCGTGTGCCACCTCCTGACGCCTGGGGGCGGTGGAGCTGTGCTGAACTTGAGGGTTCCCTGGGCTCTCACTGATGAGGTGATGGGACAATGACACTTCAGAGGGCAGTGGAGCTGGCAGGACACAGTATCACCTTCACATTGGCTACAGCTCTCCAGGGGGAAGCCTTACAGCCTCCACACACACACTCACTCACTCACTCACTCATTCATTCACGGATTCATTTGTTCACACACTCCTCATCCACACATTCACACACTCACTCATTCATCCATCCCCATTCTTCCTGGTCCCTCCCAAGCCAGGTGAGTGAAGAAAGGGTGCAGGTCACAGACATGCGTAGATGCTACCCACCCGATGCTGGGGCTCAGGAGACCCCTCTGTCCTGGAATGAGGTGGCATCAGAGTTGTCACCACCAGATAACCCAGGGCACACAATGACACGACCCTGGGCACTGCAGAGCAGAAACAGCTACGGCAAGGACCCAGCAAAGACCAGGGCAGGTGTGGACCCTGAGCGTCCTGCGGTCCCCACTGGGCCCTGCATTCTCGGGGTCAGCAGTGGCCAAGCCAGCTCTCCCCCTGCCCTCTCCATGGTCACCCAAGGGCACCCAGGGAGGCACAGCCACCTCTGAGAGCCCGGATTGGACCCCGGCTGTGCCCAGTGCCTACTGGGAGCCCGCCAGGCACCAGCGACCCCAGATGGACAGGGGTGGCACTCAGTCCAGCGGGAGACAGTGGACAGGCCACTGCCAATAGTGTCCCTGGTCCTCACCATGCTCTGAGGCCAGCGCCTGGGTCTATTGTTCCTCAGAGGTGGCAAGTACCTGCGAGAGGGGCTGGCACATAGCAGGTGCTCAGTACACGAGCTGCATGAATACAGTGGGTTAAGAGCAAAGCAGAGGGCACGGGAGGCACAGGAAGGGGGGTGGGGACTTTCCGGGGAAGGAGACAGCGGAATCTCCAGGCCGGGGCAGGAAGGGGCTGGGCCACTCCAAGCCAACCCTTGCGAGGACCAACACACATGAAAGAGAAATCTAAAAACATCCAAAGTGCGGAAATCAGGCTGCTCTTTCTCCCCCTTCTCTTCCTCCTGCCAACATTCCTGAGGAAAGATCATCTGCGGTTCTGTATCCACAGAAAAGTGTGAGCCTTTGTTTAACTGCTCAGAAGAGGGGAGGAGCAGTAAGTCCCGGCCCCTGGGATGGGATGGGTGTCAGGGAGAGGACTGAGCAGCGTCACCCGGCCCTGTAGTGCCGGGGCCTGTGTGGCACGTACAGAGGGGCATCCTCACCCTACGTTGTCCACCAAGAGAGAAGAGCCCCTGCTGGACGGGGTGGTGCACGCCTATAATCCCAGCGCTAAGGGAGGCTGAGGCAGGAGGGTCCCAAGTTCAAGTCCAGCCTGGGCGATTTAGCAATTTAGCAAGACCCTGTCTCAAAATAAACTATAAAAAAGGGCTCAGGATGTAGCTCAATTCAAAGGGCTCAGGTTCACTCTCAGGAACTGGGGGGGGGGGGGCAATTTTCCCAGGTCTGCCAGAAGCCGGTGTCCCCACCCTTTCCAGTGGCAGCTCCCGCTGGGGCCATGCAGCCACTTCCCCTTCCTAGAGCAGAAGGAAGCTCCGGCTCGGAGCCCTGGCTCCTCCCAAGAAAGTGTTGCGCGGTGCAGAAGCAGGTCGTCCTCCTGCCGACCGGCGCCCTCCGTCCCTCCTGGGGGTTGCAAGGCCGAGCCCTGGGGCGGAGCCCAGGCAGCCTCCACGCCGAGCGTTTCCGGTTCCCGCCTGATGGGGACATGAGGGTCAGTGCTGCCGTCCTTCTGTGAGAACTCCGCCTTGGACAAAGGCAGCGTGAGGTTCTTCTTAGATCCCTCCGCCGGGCGCTGGGCCTGTAGCCGCCGCAGTAGGGCTCGTGGAGTGCAGAGCAGACGAGACCCATTTGGAGAGAACAGCGGAGGCTGGCTGTGAGTGCACAACCCGAGCAACTGCGCGCAGAAGCTCCCAGGTGGGTCTGATTCTCAGCCATCACCGTCTCTCTCAAAATTCTCACTGATCTCACAGGAAGCAGCTCCAAAATGCACTGGGCACTGGGCCGTCCTGGAGCTCTTCCTGGAAGCTCCGGACGGGGGAGCCGGTGAGGCCTGGGAAGGACGAGGTTGGGGTTTCCTGCAGCCTTGGCTGGGATCCGCAGGGAGTGGGCGGCTCGCTGGGCCTCAGCTCGTCCTGACTCCAGAGGGCCGGGCTGAGGGGACCAAGGGCCAAGGGGAACCCACACAGTGACGAGCTGAGGGCTCAGGAAGCCACACCTGTACACCTTCCTGGGCACGGCTTCGTCTTCCTGCAGCTCCAAGGGCAGCAGTCACGGAGCGGAGACAGGGCCAGCAGGGCCAGCTGCCACGGAGTCCTAGGGGGAGGAGGCCTGGCCTCGTCTGGGGGCATCAGGAACCCTTCGGTGTTGGCAAACTGCCTCTTCCAGTTTGGGACCATAATCTTTTGAAACAGTCTCCCTGTGTAGTCCAGGCTGGCCTCAAACTCACGGCAACCCTCCTGCCTCAGCCTCCTGAATGCTGGGATGACAGGCATGACCCACCATGCCCGGCGTTGAGACAGTCTCCGTGAAACCCCCTGGCGAAGAGGCTCTGTACAGAGAGGAGGACCCTGCTCTCGGCTCTGGGGTGTCCAGGAGAGACCAAGCCAGGGCTTGCGGGCCCAGGCTCTGCAACCTGCACAGGTGACATGGCATCCCTGGGCTGTGTCCAGTCGCCCTGCGGAGTGGAAGCCATGGGCGCTCCTGCAGCAACGGCCCCTTCCCGAGCTCGGGGACAGCCCCCACCGCTCCTCAGCCATCCCTCCAGCCAGCCGATGACCCGGATATCTAAGCGTGGGCCAGGGCTGCTGTCACCTGTGCCAGTTCACACTGCTCGAGGGTCCAGCCCCACTGGGAATGGACGTAGATCCACTCCTTCAGTCTTCACAGCAAACCCGGGGAGGAAGCAGCACTGTGGCTCCTACCTTACAGATGGGTAACGGGACAGAGAGGGTAAGAGACTTTCCCTAGGACACACAGCTCTTGTGACAGCCCAGTGGTTTCTGCCCCAGATACTCAAGCCCCACATGGTCCTCTCCTGGAGAGTGGGTGGACCTGGAGACTTGGCAGGACAGCGTGCTCAGGATTCCATGATATGCAGAGGCGATGGGATCCTGCAGAGGTCGCTGATCTCCTTCAGTGATTTCCTGCTGTTCATGAAAGGGAAGCCTGCAGGGTGGGTCTGGCCTAATCAGGTGAGAAGCAGCCAGGAGGACTTGGCCTGCCATGAACTCAGCTGGACATGTGGGCTCAGAGCAGCCAGTCGACCCTGCTCTGGTGAGCACTCCCTGGAGGGGGCACTGATCCGTCCCTGAGGGCTCCCCAACCACACAGCTGCACCAGGCCTGGGTACAATGGGTGTCACTGTGCAAGGCAAAGTTCGTGCCATTTGTTATGCAGCAACAGCCGGGGAGAGCCACGGCACACACGGGGAGCAAAGTGAGGGGTAGGTCCATGGGTCCGATGCTAGCTGTAGAGCAGTATGGGGTGCTGGCCTCCCCAGGCTGGCAGTCGTCCATTTCAGGCACTGCACTAGGCCCACAACAGGCATGGAGGCTGCCTCGAGGCCCTAGCACTCAACAGATAACCAAAGAGGCACAAAACAGTCACGGGGGGCACAGGGCTATGAAGGAGGCAGGGATGTACTGGGGAACAGCGAACCCCTTGGCCTGAAACAAGGGAGCCGAGGAGGGGACCTGCACAGGGCCTGGGGTAGGAGACACAAGGAGGAGGGAGACCAGATCCTGCAGGGAGGAGGGGAAGGATGGGCCCGGGACAATGCTGGAGGGCCAGGGGCTCTGCTGAGGTGCCACTGCCCACGGAGGGAGCCGAGGCTCTGACCCTTCTGCCGGAGGAAGGCGACATCCTGTTACCACGAATGACAGAAACATTCCTCCCGAGCCTCCATGGCCTAGAGCCAAAATTCCTGAGCACAGAGAAGGAAGCTGGAAAGGCACCCGAACCCCGACAGCGCCAAGAGGCTCGTGTTGTGCCTGCCGGCTGAGAATAGAGAGCTTTTGCCCTTTTTCCTGTCTTGGAGGCAGAAACAGCCTGCAGAACCAGTGGGCGGGTGGGCGTGGCCAGGGCTCCCTGCCACCCTCGTAGCCCGGGACCCAGCAGCTGTCTGCCCGCTTCTCTCTCTGCCATCAGCCGCCTCGCAGGTATCCGGCTTCAGGACTGTGATCACTGCAGGGCCTTGTGCAAGGCACTGGCTCGGAGCAAGGGCTCAAGAAATAGCAACAGCAGCAGCTCTTCTGATGGCCACTGCTGCTCCAACCAGTGCCACCCACTGTCAGAACGGGCGCTGTCCTGCCAGGGTGCAGGGCAGCGGCCTCCACCATCTGCCTGCGGGCATGTGCTGGGGCCCCAAGGGAGGGAGCAAGCACCCCAGGACTCTGCTGTGCAGTCCCCGGAGTCCCCTGGCTGAGGGACACGGAGTCACTGTATTGAAGGACCTGCTGGCGGCAACTGGGCCTGGTATGGGGGCCTCCAGGGAGAGGAAGCACTGCCCTGCTGGGGGGCAGTCCTGTCCACGTGCCAGCTCAGCTGGACGGAAACGAGCAAAAGTCAACACACCCTCCCGTGAGATCCAGGAAGCACAGCCCTTGGAACATCTGGGAGAGCTGGAACTCCATTCACACCCAAACCCCGCAAGGCCTGGAAGCTACCAAGACATCCCTCAGAGGGGAGCAGGCAAAAGAACCCTGACACATCTAGACAGCGGAATATTACCCAGCCCTGACAAGGAACAAGCCATTAAGCTGTGAAAAGATGTGGAAGAAACATAAATGCACATTAGGAAGGGAAAGCAGCCAATTCAAAAAGGCTACACTGTGTGTGAGCCCAGCGGTAGACATCGTGGAGACACTAAAAAGGTCCAAGGACGGAAGAGGATGAATGTGCACAGGGCGGGCTTGGGGCAGGGAAGCCATGATGCATGACGGCCAGGACGCACAGCCCAGCAGCAGCCCTCCTGCTCCCTGGGGACCTGGGCAACCAGGCCATGTCACTGAGGCCCGTCCACACACCGAGGAGGGCGGGGGCTCGCAGTAAGGGCAGGGAGGCTACGGGAAGTCTCAGCATCTTGGCTGGATTCTGTCGTGATTCTAAACCTGCTCTAAAAAGCTGTCTACTGGAAAATCACCCGAGAAACCAGGCTGATCCCGGGGCGTCCCCAGCAAACAGGCTGCGTGTGGAAGAACCGTGAGGCGCCTGCAAGGCCGGGTCTCAGCCCGGCTGCTTCACTCCTGCCGGATGCCGTAGTCTCACGGCTGCCCTCCTGCCCAGGCCCGGTGAATGCTGCTTTTCACGTTGACATGAATGGACAAAAGTCTTGCTCTTTTCAAAAGAAGTTGCTAGTGACATAATTGTAAGAGGGAGTTTGGTCAGAAGCAATTGTATGGAAGGTTTTATGAGGTTTTAAGAAAGCTTTTCTTATTAAAGGTCTATAAAACCTCCCCCCAAATAGCTCAAACTAACTTGGGAGAAAGCCAGTCGTCGTTAATGGAAACCTGAAATCCAGAATAGTTCTTCAAAAATGTATTTTTAATGCTTGAAGTCCACACAGAAAAAGGAGCCCAGAGCTAATAAGGAGGCTGTGTCTTTTGCGAACAAACAGGACACCGTGTGCCCGGCAGTGTCCTTACAGGGGTTTGGCGTCCCCACTGTGTGAGCTTGGGTGACTCTCAGAACCTCCAGGCCCTCGATGTCTTTCTGTGAAAAGACACCGGCCTCTGGGTGTGGTGTGCACACCTGTCATCCCAGCACTCAGGAGGCTGAGGCAGGAGGATCACTGCCAGCCTGGGCCGGCCTGACCTACATAGTGAGACCCTGCCTCAAAAACTAAACTAATAACAACAATAATAAAGTTTGACTCTACCTGCCATATCGACTGCGTTACGCCCCCTAAATTCTCATTCGAGCCCTGCCCGCCCTGTGACTGTGTTTGGAGACAAAGCCCTCTCAGGAGCCACTAGGGCCTCCCCAGCGGGACTGGTGTCTGTGAGGGGAGGCCCGGCATGTGCCCACCCGGCAGAGCCACCGCAGAGGAGAGGCACGGCAGGGGCAGCCCAGCCGGCACCTGTACCCGGAAGGCGCCCAGCCCGGACCCCTCATCCCAGAGGCTGGGAGTTGGTGACTAAGGCCCCAGGGAGATGCTGTCACCGCCCCTCAAGCTGAAATGCAGGAAGGCCGGAGCCAGGCCCTGGGCCGTGACTGTCCATGGCCTCCATCTGGGGCGGCTGTGCCTGTGGCCGCATCGTACAGGACACCTTCGCCTTCTGACCTCCTTGCTCACCCTCTCCCTCTCATTCATCTGCTAAGGTGGGAAGCACCACTCGCTCACTCATTCAACAACCACGTTCCAGGCGCCCACCTGACGCTTTCCAGGGAGCAACCTGCTTTGCCCCCAAGAAGGCCTAAGAAGGGGCCCGCGAGCGCTGCATCTCGTGGCCCGCCCTGTGGTTCTCCAGTGATCTGATGGGGCTCCTGGCCTGCACCATCTGCTTGCTCCACCCCATCTCCTCCTCCTGCCGATTATGCACCGGCTTCTTCACAAGATCGCTCTGACGGCTCCCCTGGTGTGGAGCCCAGAGCGGCATGCGCAGTGCGGAGATGCAGACGTGCTGACCATGCTGGCCCTGGGCATCTGCGCTCTGCCCGGCGGTGCATCCTCAGCCTCCCCAAAGGCCTGGGCTCCTCACTTCAAGGGCAGCTTGGGGAGTCCACTGCATTCGGTGGTGAAATGAGATGACCCTTTCCTGATTCTACAGCACATCTGCAGACAGCACAGCCAGCAGCTGGCGCCCCAGGCTACACACACACACACACACACACACACACACACACACACACACACGATGGGTCTACCACGGCGGCCTGTGACGCCATGTGGGCGATAAAAGAGCACTCACCGAGTCCTGCACAGAACGCTGCAGTTTACACACAGCTGTCACTGCCTGGCCGTCGCTTGCGGGAGGCACTATGATTCTCATTCTTAGAGGGACAGGAGTGCCTTCTTGATTTTCAGGAATACCCTTGGTGCAGGGTGAGGCTGGGCTCGAACCTGGGACTTCGCTGTGGCCAAGCCCAGCCACACCCATCATTTATGTATCGCTCAGTCCAGGACAGTGGAGCAGCTGCCCCAAGACCTCAGACACTCACTCCATGGCCCTGCACAGGCAACTCGAGCTGCCCCTCTGGAGAGGAATGCGCAGACTCACAGCAGCACCTCAGACTCACTGCCCTGCCACCTGAGCAGCTCTGTGACCATCGCGGACTGGCCACAGGAGCAGGAGCTGCCAACCCTGGATGGAGGCACGTGGTGGCAGACGCTGCTAGGTGCCTGCACACCCTTGTCATGCACCTAGCACATGTGTAATAAGAAAAGGGTTCTGTTAGCCCACAGTGCTGGAGGCAGAAGGTACAAACAGCACAACGAGGCTGCAGAGCAAAAAGCACCCTGGAGAGAGTGCGGGCAAAGGGCAGTTCACCTCACCAGCCGGAAGCCGGAAGCCGGGCTCAGTACCACTCTCAGGGGAGCTGCCTGGGTCCAGCGAGAAGCCCTTCCTTCCAAAGGCAGCACCCACTGACCCGATCACTTCCCCTGAGGCTCCCACTCCCCCCCTCATCCCAGCGGGGACCACGCTTCTAGCACACAAACCTTTAGGGTACACTCAGGCCACAGACACCACGCCCCCACCCCATGACACTGGTAGACTGGCGAGTTACAAGGAAGCTTCTACATGAAGGGCCTCTGGGAAGACCTGGAGCGTTAGGAAGCCAGGAGAGAAAGCCTGACGTCTTTAACAGCGTGGGCTCCAAGTATCTGCTCTGCCCTTAAAAAGATCTTTTGATGTACTGGCTACACCCAGTCGTGGCATTTCCTGTGTACAGGATCCCATCCACAGAAGTGCAATCCAATCTGAATTTCAGGGGCCTGAGAGTCAGCCAGCGTCTCACACCGGGCAGGGTCTGGGCTGCACTGTCTCAGCAGCACCTCAGGGGACCCACGAAACACTTCCCGGAGGGAGGCAGAACCCACGTCCACATCAGTGTGGACTGTCCTGGGCCTAGGATGGCTCCACTTCAGAAGCTTCGCCTTTACGATGGGTTTGGATGAATCAGGGGGTGAAAGTGCAGCTCCAGCCCCACAGCCAGGCTCACTGTGCTGCGAGAAGGCCGCTCCCCGATGACCCACGTCTCCCAGGCTTCCCTGGGCCTGAACTCAGCAGAGATGCTCTGCTTGAACCCAGAGGGAACACGCGTGCTTGCCAGCTCTGACACGCCTGCCTCCTCATCCGGCCACCCGCAGGATTCGGGGCAAACGCCCCTTACAAGACAGGGCAACGGGGAGGGACACTCCCAAGACAGTGAAGCCAGTGCCACTGCACACAAAACCAATCACAAACGCGAATCTTAGGCCAATCAGAAACTTGCTATTTTCATTTGAATCCAGTGCTGTTTGGAGGACCAATCAGAAGATGCTCTTTTCAACCCTTCATTTGCATGTGGGCTCATCAGTCAGCAGACATCTTTCAGTTTCCACGTGGGTGAGGCTAAGAATGAGGTTGACAGGACTATTTTCCCAGTGCCTCATTTGCATGAGAGGGAAATAACCTGGGAATCTGGGATATAAAAGCCTCCTCTCCCTTATCCTGATGCTGGGAGCCATCTAAAACTCTTCATCACCTCTGCAAGGTCCCTTTGGCCACAGAGGGTAAAGCATCCGTGGATTTGGAGGACCAGGGGAGGTGGGCGTGGCTGGTGCTCCGGACAGGACAGAGCCTGCAGCCTCAGGTGTCCCCGACCTGGATTAGAAGCCAGGCTGGGGGCGGCAGCAGGGAGCAGGGACAGAGTCCTCATCTATCCCCTGCCTGGGCTCCACGCCCTCACCTCCAAGGCTGGCCTAGCTTTTATTGCCCCAAAGACCCTTTGCCCGCACATGGGGGGCTGTGCTCTGTAGGACCCCCCACCCCAGGACCCTCCCACGCCCTTCCAGGGTTTGCGCTGGGTTCAGACCATGATATTTAGCAATTAGATCTGATCAACAGACTGATAAAAGACAAGCGGGGTGGAGCAGTGATCGGATGACAGATGGCAGCATGTGCGGGGCTGTTTCTGGTTGGCCCTCATCTTAGCAAGATGCTGGTCACCCCTCCCTGACCTGGTCACCTCACAGTCCCAAGGAAGGACAGCCCACAGCCCAGGTCATCAGCTGCAATCCACTCACACTGTCCGCTCCTGCTCTTCATCTCCAGATTACCTAGGCCTGAATGCCCAGGGTTTTTGTTTTTGAATTTAGCCAAAAGAAAATCACAGTACACGCTGTTCCCTGATAAGACAAACAGTGAACAAACCAATCCACCAAGTAAGCTCATTTTGACACTTGGGCCAGAAAAAAAAGAAACATACTTCACTCTGGTACAGAAAATAAGTGGGTTTCTGTTCCTCCAGACGCTCTGCATTAAGAAGAAGGTTGGCGAACTGGCTTCACCGAGCTGCTCTCTGGCCCTTGGTGTGGGAGACAGCATCGCCAGGCCCAGGTCGGTCCTGTGGATGGCACTGGGAAAGGAAGCTGTGGAGGAACATCTGGAAGCTCGGGAAGCTCGGGGCTACCTGGGGCAGTTTCTCTTCCAGTCCCGGCCCCAGGCCCACGAGTCCTGGGATGCTGGCTGCTCCCGAACTTCCTGTATCTGCCAGTTCCTTCCATTAGTCTCACTTCTTTCCGGGCCTCTGCTGAGTGAAAGGAAAGCCACGAGGGAGCACAGATTCTGAGTGGGAAAGACTTGTGGGATGCGGGGCCCGAGAACACAGGGCACCATCTGCAAGTTGCTCTGCAGGACACTTCTCTCGGCAGCCTGCTGACCTACAAAGGTGGCTCCAGCCAGCAGGTGCGAGAGTCTCGCTGCCCAGTGGACCGCAGAATGACAACTGCGGGATTACAAAGCTTCGAGTGGGCTCACATCCTAGCGAAGAGATCGGCTTTCTCCAGCTCAAATGCGCCCCTCTGCAAAGACTACACATTGCTCCTTGCTGACAGACTTTCACAGTGCGCTTGAAAAGAAACCTGTTCCATCCGCAAAAGCTTTGAGCTTCATGGTCTTTTTCTTTCCCCTTCTGCTACTGGGGATTGAACTTAGGGCCTCTACACTGAGCAACAAACCCAGCTCTATATACATGCACTCATTCATTCCTTCACCCATTCATTCAGACAGGGTCTCCTTAAGTTGCTAAATTGCCCAGGCTGGGCTCAAACTTTTGATTCTCCTGCCTCAGCCTCCCAGAGTTCGGGGATTACAAGTGTTCAGCACTCCACCTGGGCACCTGGTTGGGGACAAGTGAGCGTTCAAGGTACCATTATCAAAGTCCTCTAACTCCTCTCCCTGGAGTCAGAGTGAGGCTGGGGCACCGGCCTTTGGGGTCAGCAGAAACCCACAGATCCTACCACCCAGGGCAGCCGACCCCTCCCAAGACTAAGCCCCTGCTTCCCTGCTGCCCGTCCAGGACTTGCTTTTCCTGTCTGTACTCCTGGTTCATCAGGAGAGAGGCCCAGAGCTGCCCTGGCTCCTGGCAGCCAAACAATGACCCCATTGAGCAGGGACAAGAGCCCCGGGGCTGGCTGAAAACTGGACAAGGAGAAAATCACGACTCAGCCTGGTCAGGGAAGAGCTCGAAAAGGAACATTAAAGCGCGGCCTCCTAACATTTTGGGGTTTGGAAGTAAAAGAAACTTCCAAACCCACAGAAGCACTCGCAGGCCACGCCCCCAGGCACCTTCTCCCCCTGGGTGGATCCCTGTCGGCTCCAGGATGCCCAGTCTGACGCTGACCCATGGAGGCCTGGGGAGTTTCTGGGGGAGGCAGAAAGTGGAGAGAAAGTGCAGGCAGCTTCTCTTCTTTTTCCTTTCCTTCTGTTTTTTGAGACAGTTTAACCATATATCCCAGGCTGGCCTTGAACTCCGGTGAGCCTCCTGCCTCAGCTTCCTGAGTGCTGGGGTGACAGGTGTGCGCCACCACTGGAAAAACACATTTTAGAGCTGCAGCCTGGTGGGCAGCATGTGAGGCCCACAAATGCCTGTCACTTAGGGACACAGAACCGGAAGGACAGCGCTGGCTCCTTTAGCAACAGCGGCCTGCAGCCGTCTGCATCAAGATGGGTGGGGCTGGCATCAGTGGGCACCGGTGCCCTGGGCTCGGTGTCCTTTGAATCAGTGCCTGCACCCCAAAACTGTGGCAGAGGCGGCAAGGCAGAGGGGAGAGAGAGGTGGGGCCCCACACCCTGCCCCAGGGACAGATGCAAGTGGCCGTGCACTCACACTTCGGGGAGGATGCTGGGGCGGAGGACGTGGACCCCTCCTTGACGGTCAGCGCCTCTCGGGATGACCGACCCTGGTCCCCTCTAACCTGGCAAGGACCCATCCACTGCCCACGCCGCCGCACTCCTGTGGCCGCCCGGCACCTATGGGCGCCTGAGACCAGCAACAGCCAGAGTCTGCAGGCCGGAAGCCCGCTGCCAGTGACAGGAAGCAGGGAAACACGGGCGGGGGCAGGGAGCAAGGGGCATTTTACAGACCTGTACGGTCCAAGGGGACCCTCGGCTCAGCACTCAGCAGTCCCAACAGAGACGCTGTCCACTGAGTGCCAAACACGCTACAGGTTTTAAAACTTCCATAGGAAACCAAGAACCTAAAATATCTTCATCATTTTCATTGATCAGGAGAAATGATCACATGAATATATTTGATATATTGGGTTAAGTAACAGAATATTGCAATGGTTTCCACCTGTTTTCTTTGTACTTAGAGGGAGCTATCAGATTTTCAAATTTGCGTGTGACTCACACTGCCAAAGGTCAGCATCGTTTAGAAGGCGAGCCCCACAGGGGAATCAGCGACGGCTTCCTGGAGGAGGTTTGTTCTGAGCAAATAATATTAGCACAGACGGAGCAACCTGCCAGGTGCCTGGAATGCTGTGTGCTTGCTGAGTCCTTCATCGTGAAGCCATGGGTGCTGTGTTCCTATTGCACCACGAGGGTCTCCGGTGCTGGGAAAGGTCCAGCCATTGGCCTGAGCCCCTCAGTAACTGGTGGGGGTGTCCACCCTGCACCCCCAGACTTGGCAGTGTCTCTCCTACAAACAGCTTGACAACTCTCCAGGGCGTTGTTCCAGCTCTGCCCGGCTGTTGGAGTTAAACTCCAACCTGCTGAGAAGCGGCTTGCGCTGTGTCATGTATAGAAAAATCAAATTATGGACAGGGAGGCCCCTTATAATTGAGGACAGTTCAGGAGATGAGGTTCCGGGCGATGGCTGCTTGTACAGCTGTGTGACTGTCTGCCAACTCCTGAGGTCCTGCCGTCCCCCGCGTGCCCTCCTCATTCGAAAACAGGTCACACGCCTTGCACACAGGACACGGGAGCCCCACGAGGGCAGCGCATGTCTGCCCCGGGTCTGAGTATACCAGGCTGCAGGTCACTGGCTCCCGAAACCTCAGTTTCTGATACAGAACAACTGCCCAGGCCAAACCCATCGATGGGGCCAGGGGCCAAACAGTGGCTCCGCCCAGAGGGGGCACATTTGCTCACTGTCACCCTGGGGTGTCAGTAGGCTTGGGGACCCTCACAAACTCAACTACAGGAGTTCTCCAAACCATAAAAGCTGCCTCTGTCCCCCCCCAAAAAAAGCTGCCCCTGCCCGTTGTCTAGGATGTGTGTTGAGTAGCCATGCACGCGCATACACCACACGCGGATACACACACATATACACATGCATGCACACATGCCCTCATGGCCCTATAAATCCGTGCACCGCACTTACCAATCAACACAGAGTCAGAGAGACATAAGATAAATCACGGCGGTGAACACGCCTCACAGAGAAGACAGCTGCAGCTCCCACGCAGGGGCCTCATTTATCTTACGATTATTTAACCAAATCCAAAATGTGCATCTGCAAACTGTCTGAGCCTGCAGCACAGGGGCCCAGCTAGGGTCCAGGTCCCCTGAGGAGAACTCCCTGGATCGCTAATTGCACCCAGTCAAGGGGGCCAACCTTGGACAGCACCAACTCTGACCTGGGTGGGGCCCTGGCCACCTTTTGGACCCATGCGGACCTCGAGGGTACCACACCCCTGCTTTCCAGGTGAGGGAGGCCAGGGAGAAGCCCCAGGCCCTGCAGCCTAGTCCTCCCCTGCTCTTCTCTGGCCCGGGTGCATCTACCTCTAGCCCATCCATCCTGGCCCACTTGGAATCTGACCGGGCAGCTTTGTGGTTCAGGAAGAATGGAGCTGCAAGAAGAGGCAGAGCCAGGCGCTTGCTTCTGCAAGGAGCCCTGCTGGTCAGTTGTAATTTGCATTAATAATGAAGCGTGCTGGCCAGCGCGGTATGAAAGATCAGGTTAATGTAACGCTCCATCTCAGCACGCCAGCTGCCGTTCTGCTAGGCTGACATTAAGTAATCTCTCTGAACAAGGAGCCGGGCTACAGTGAAATCAATTAGGCCCTCCTTGGCTGGCGGACAGCTGTTGGTCAAAGCAAGATAATTAGGCAGACTGTCATTTACCAGGTGGTTGGTAATGAAGGGATTAATTGACCAGCGCTTGGGCTGAACAGTGGCTCCTCCTTCTCACCCTCCCCAGGGTGCACTGGGCCCAGCACCAGCCTCCCGGAGAGCCCGGGGAGGCAGAGCCCAGTCCCAAGCCTGGCTGAATCGAGTCCCAGTCCCGGGGCTTGTTCCTGTCTCACAGATTTCACCCGACCAGATGAGAGGAAGTGACCCCCCATCCTCAGGGGCCCTTGTGGGAACAAGTGACGCAGCCACTGGGGGGAAGACAGGAATCCAGTGTTGGCGACCTCAGCACGTCTGCCCTGCGCTGCTTCTCAAGTAACGGGTTATGAGGGCTGGGGATTTAGCTCAGTGGTTCTGGCGCCTGCCTCGAAAGCGCAAGGTCCTAAGTTCGATCCCCGGTACCAAAAAAAAAAAGTGATGGGTTATGAGACTCGGAGACCAAAGGCCAGCCCGCTCTGAAGACCTCCACACACCCACAGCGGCCACGCCCCCCACACCGCAGGGGGGGGGGGGGTCGAGCGGACCCTGCACCCAGGCAGGGCTGAGAACCATGATCAGACCCTGAGCTCTCATTTCAGAGGGCAGTGCTGGCCCCAAGGGAAACCAGCCTTGGAGGAGCTCCGTGGGTATGGGGCGGCCGAGTGGGCAGCAGAGCTGGTTAGTGAGTTGTATGCTGCCCACCAAGGCCTCAGGCAGGGTGGAGAGGCCCTTGGTGCCCTCCTACCCCACTTGCATCTCCAAACAATGCCCAGGCCACCCTAGCCCAGCCACAAACCCTCCCCAGTTCTCTGAAAGTGCCTTGGGCTGTCCCTGCTCCTCGCTCCTGCTGTTCTCCCTGAATCAAGCTCCTCCTCCTCCTCTCTGTGTATACTCCTATGTGTCTTTAGAGCTGGATTCAGCAGCCCTCCTCCTCCTCCATAAAGGCCCCTGCTGAGCAGCACACTTGGGAGGCTTCAGGGCCCACACGGGACATCCCCAGCTGCACAAGTCTGCTGCCTGCATTCCCACCTCTCTCTCCAAGCCTTCAAAAGCTTTCATCAATCTATTGCTTTCCACCCAACCAAAGTCCTGGCTGCCCAAGGGTCCCCAGGGGGTGCCACCCGCAACTGAGTTCCTGGGGCTGTCCCTCCAGCCAGGGTCCTGGCGTCTCCCAGCCTGGCCAAAGATCAGGTTCAGTAAGCCACAGAGGAACACGTGACTGTCACAGGCCTCACTGGCAGGGTCCCCTCTTTCCCGAAGCCTCGCTCCTGCCCTGGGATTGCCACAGCAGCCCCCCAGGGCCAGGCCTCAGCCTGACTCACTAGGGAGGAGTCTGCCCGGGAGATCATCCTCAACGCCTGGGAGAGACACGGCCCTAGGCAGTGCCCCACCCGCCACCTGGCCAGGCCAGATGGCGGCTCTGTCACCGAGGAGCTGCATGGCTGTGGTGAACTGCTGAGCTTCAGGTAGCTGGACGAGGGGTCCCCAGAGAGCTTCTCAGTGCTGTAAAAATTCAACAAGTCGCTGGGGCTACAGCTCCGTGGTAGGGAGAGGGCCCGACCAGCACAGAGGGCGCCACAAATCAGACTCGGACGTGTTTGGGAAACACCCAGAACAGTTGGAGACGCGCACCACCAGCCCAGGGAATGGGCACTCGGCTTCCTTTCTCCCTGTCTCCCTTTGCCTTGCCTACCCTTCCCTGCTCTGTCCTCTTCGTCGGCCTCCTTGCCTCCTGAACCCGCCTGAGGGAGAAGGAAATTCCCCTCAGCACACGGAAGACGGGACCACACTGAGCAACGGAGATCTCGGCAGTGGCCTGGGTCCTTTGCCCGCTCCTTTCTGATTTGCTGTTTCCCCCGACAGCTCACCCAGAATCCGACTAGATCCGGGACACGACTGCTCCCCAGAGCCCTAGACAGCAAGCAGACCACTGGATCTGCTGTACCTCCAGCAAACCCAGATGCGCTGCTTTAAACCACAGTCAGCCAGGCCATGCCCTCCACGTGGTAATCACAGAGCAAGAGCCGCTGTGCTAAAGAAAGGCCCAGGCGGGCAGGGCAGAGCCACAAGAGTGCTGCAGCAAAGACGGGCAGGGGCGAGGACAAGCTGTCTTGCCCTAGCTGCCAGTCAGGGCCAATTCTGCCCTCCGCATGCCCGGGTGTGTGAGCCCAGCCCAGTGGCCCACAGCTGTGCCCAGCCCACAGATGTGCAGTTGGCAGCTTCTGAACTTTCGGTGACTTCACGCCAGCTGATCTGATCCACAATTACGTTTTATTTTGGGGCCCAGGGAGACAGCCAAGAGCCAGGAAAATTATAAGACATCCCAGTACAGTGTTGCTAAGAATATCAACTACAAAGCCGTTTTGTTTTTTTAAACCAATTGTAGTTTTAATGGTTAGAGGTTTGCAGGGCACTAAAATAAGAAAATCCCGGTTTATAAAATCAGATGATAGCCAATCTTCCCAAGGGAAGTTTAAGCCCCTGTCTGGTGAAAAATCTGGGTTTGCTTTTTGTTTTTTAGGAGGATAAGGCAATTTTTTCTGCAAGAGAACTTTGCCAGGAGCTGCTGGTAACCCTGGATCTGTAGCTTGTCCTTACAGAGTTCCCCACAAGCTATGTGGTCTTGGACCACTCCTATACAATCCCTGGCCTGAGTTTCCCCTTGCATAAACTGAGGAAGTGATGGCTGAGGGTGCCTAAGAAGGATCCCACCAGACGTTTCTGAACCCCAGGGAGCGCCAGAGCAAGTGCACGTGCTGAAGAAAGAACCAGGCAGCACAGAAAAAGGAAAACAGCATTCATTTCTGGGAAGAGTCTGATCCTAGCGAGCAGAAGGTCTGTCGTCTGCCTCTGACAGAGTCCTCCTGGGCTCAGCAGCTTCGAAGGCCCTGATGGTGGGAAAATTCCGGGCACCCTGCAGACCCCCTCGGGTCATAGTCCATTAGGGTCTCCTGGACACAAAACTAACTCACTGCCCTGAGCCCTGGCTCACTCCTGCCCTTTCCACCTCCAGCCACCAACGTTCTGAGATCCCCGGGACAGATTCTCAGCGAGGGCCATGCAGGGACCTTGCGTGAGAAAGAACGGAACTGCAGCTTGTAAAGGAAGCCAGCCAAAGAAAGGCCATCCAGGCAGCATCCTGGGGAAATGGGTGATCTTCCTGCAGGGACATTCTCCCGGCTGCCAGCTGAGGGCCGGGCAGTGTGCCCAGGGCATCCTTGAGGAGGGGCAGGGACTGGGACACACACCCACCACTCTCTCCCCAGCGACTCCAGGGCCACCCCTCCCCTCCCATGTGAGCCCCTCAGCCAGACACTCACAGGGCACATGAGGGGGAGACCGCCCTCCCTGGACAGCTACCTTACAGGGACAGCGGGTAGGGCTGACCTTGGCAGACAGAGAGAGGGACCGACAGGGACAGCCAACCTCATTCCTTTCTGCACCCGGCACCTGGCACTGAGCTGCAACTGGGCCGTGTGATGATGACAGTGGATAAACCCAGGCCCACACGGCTCCCCTGGGGCACAACGCCCACTGTATCCTGGGCGCCACAGCAGTCCCAGAGGGGCATGGAACTGCCCCGAAGTCACACAACAGGAAGTAGTGGCACCAGGCTTCGAACCCGGGTCTGACTCTGAAGTCAAGGCTCCCAGTGTGGAAGCCACCTTTGTGACCATAACGACGTCTCATAGAGCCCAGACTCATCACCATGACGACCCTGCCAACATCCCAGCAAGCCACGTCACTAGCTGGAAAAACTGACCAACAGAGACTCAGGGATATTCCAGGTCATGCAACTGGACAGTGGGAGAGCAGGGCTTCTGCTACTCAGACACGGGGTTTGGGGCCCCTCGAGGCGCCAGGCGCTGTGTGAGGTCCTGGGGAGACAGTGGGAAGAGCGCCCCCACCCAGAGCAGTGGGCACGGCAGAAACCCAGCGTCCCCACGAACACAGGCCAGAGCAGGTTCGCGTGGGAGTGCTGAGAGCTTCGGCATGGCTTGAGGGAAGTCCCTGGTGTGGTCAGAGCCTACAGAGGCAAACAGACGGCCCGGGAGCCCTGCCCTTAGCATCCAGAGTATCTGGGCATCTGAGGAGGCCCTGATCTCAAATTCCCTGCAGAGCCGAGGCCTTGGGCAGCACCAAGTTTGCGATTCCCAGGTGAATCTGGCCTCATCCCACCAGACAGGGGACACAGGGCGGAGGGGACTCAGGGAGGACACTGGTCCACCCTTCCAGAAGGGGGCAGGCGAGAGGCCGGGAGACAGGCAGCTGCAGCTCCGCATGGCTCTAAGAGCTCAGCACCTTCGAGGCCGGCCCTGAGCTCCTCCACCAGGCCCAGCCCACAGAGTGAGGACTCGCACCCGACACCAAGCCAGGCCCAGGGAGCATGCAGAGCCGCCTTCCTGTCCCACAACGGCTAAGGTCGGAGGGGCTGCTGTGAATGCTCGCCACCAGATCCCATGCCAGGTACTAAGGAATGTCCCCAACCAGCGTCCACTTCACAGCTTGCAAGCCATGGGGTGGTTGGCATGGCGACCAGGCCTCCTAACTTTGCCCCTTTGTGGGAGTTTTTCTTTTGCTCCAAGAGGGACCCTTTATTACCGACAGCACCTCACTTGCTAAAGTGACAAGTCACACCAACCTCCACAGTCACCGCGCTGGGATTATCCCACATGGGAGCAGGTGGCACACGCACCTATGTGGGAGGCACGGCCCGGCCCAGCGGGCTCTTCCAGCCACGTCCCACTGCTAGGACCCAAGACTTCGCAGATCTCAGGGCCCAGAGCTCCCGAAGGTCTGGAAGCGTCAACCAGCACACCCTGCGGCATTTCTGTGAACATTTCAGGCTGGAATTTCAGAAATCTCACAGGTTGAGTGTCTCTGACCCAAAAGCTGGCCCCAACAGTGTTTAGGACGTGGGAGTTTTTTCAGACTTTGGGATATATGCACAGACCTCATGTGCCCGATGCACCACCCGAGGGTAATTTTATGCAGTTTCCAAGGTGCCAGCTTCGTGGATGTGACTGACACGGGAGCATGGCGTTTCCTACTGGGGCCGGAAACGCTGGTGACCAGAAAGCTTTGGATTTATAGGAGCATTTTGGGCTTTAGATTTTCCTTTTAGGGATGCTCAGCCTGTTCAGCGGTGAGGAGGTGAGGGAAGCAGCCACTGCAGGTCAGATGCTGGGAGCGGAAGGAAGTTTCAGATCACCCCAGAAGCCAATTTTGCAGCTTCTCAGTGCCAACACCCCACCACCGCCACCAGATGACACACAGGGACAGGAAGCCCGGCAGCTTACCTGGATCGGGTTGTACAGCTCCTGCAGGGGACTCCGAGACCCCTTTCGACAGCAGATGTCCACGCCGAAGGGATTCCTCCGCATGACTGAGGAGAGAAAGTGAACTCGTCAGAAAGGAGCCATGAAAGTTTGCTGACTGACAAAGAAAAAGATGTCAGGAGGGAGCAGGAAGCAGGTGGGGAAGAGAGATTGCACCTATCGAGAAAGGCCCCATGCAGCTCCTTGATCCGGTAGCTCGGCCACCCATATCCTCCCTACATCCAGCCTCGGGCACACCCAGCGTGGCAGAAACCGGGCTCTGAGTGTAGGGTGGGTGACCAACACTCACAGAAGACAATGACAAGATTGTGCCCCGGTCGCTTTTTCTTAATTTCTGTTTTCATCGGTCATGTTTGTGGGACAGGACAGTCACATTCCTCATGGGAAACTGGCTCGTGAATAGAACACATCCTAACCCTTCTACTGCCCCTTCTCCTCCTGTCCCTCCATGTCCTGATCCCCTTCCATAAGAAAGAGCTATCTCTCTAGTTCCTATTATCTGTCTTTTATTTTGCTCTATTTGTAGTTATTTATAGTTGGGGGGCATGTGATGTTGAAGCTTGTGTGTCTAATTTATTTCACTTAACATTACGGTCTCGAGGGCCGGGATGTAGCTCAGTGGAACCGTGCCTGCCCACAAGCCTGAGGCCCTGAGTTTGATTCCCGGTACCAGAAAGCAAAACAAAAGACATTATGGTCTCCAGGTGCATCCATTTTCCTACATATAACTCAGGTGCGAGGGTCTTTCCTGAAGTCATCGGCAGCCGGGAGGGCTGGATGCTTTGATCTACGGACAGAGGCCCCTGAGTCTTTGGGTCTGAGACTTCAATGGGGATCACACTCATGTTAGAAAGAAAAAGATTGCTGGAGAGGGCAAGTTCACCCGCACCCACCCTGGTGCCGGCACAGAATGGCTCGCGCTGCATCTGCCACCACGGCGACCAGCCAGGTGTGTTCACACCCAGACGCACAACCCGCAAGCCACCTGCCACACCGCGAACTGGGTGGGATCTCGGCTCCAAGCCCCGCCACACACGCGCAGACTGACCACATGACGAACCACGTCAGAAATGCAAGGCGTCATTTCCACACGCAGCTGGGGCTCGCTGCGTAGCCCAGGCTGGCCTTAACCTCGGGATGATCGTCCTGCCTCAGCATCCCGAGTGCTGGATTACAGATGTCCACCACCATGTGCAGCTTTCAGTTTTTTTCAACTGCTCATAAAAAATGGGTGGTGCGCAGAATTAGGGCACCCAGGCTGGAGTTTGCCGACTGCTCCTCTGTGGGCCCCAAGTATCCTGGGCTGAGACACAAGCTCCACACACAGCAGGCATGCCCAGAAGCCTTCCCGGGGGAGGATGGATCTGCAGGCAAATGTCAATACATAAAAGCCACCAGGACTGGACTAGGCTGTCCCCAGAAACACTGCTTCTTTGTTCCTCTGTTGTTGCCCCAAGAGGGAAAAAAATATATACCTCGTGTTTTTCTTTACTTTATTACTCCATTTTTCATTTCCACCAAAAAGGAGGTAAACTGTTACATGCACGCGAGTTGCCCTCGGCACACAATGACATAGCAACACTTTAGAGGAAAAAAAAACAGCCATTAAACTTGTAAAATTCTGCCCGGGCCATGCAAGATTAAATTCTCCCCACGGCGGCAGACAGGCTCATCGAGGCCGGAGGCTACGCGGCCGCCACCATGGAATACAGTAAAAGCCAGCTTTTATGGGGGCAGTATTATTTAATTGGTTTACTTTTCTAATGCAAGACCTTTAAAATGCTCTGACCGTGTGGGGCCTCCACCTCCGTCCTCTGCCGCAGCCCTGCCGGGGACTTCGTGGGCACCGTGGGAAGCCACCTCCGGCCCTCAGGCCACGAACACCAAAGGGGCCCGCGTGCTTTCGACGGAAAGACAGCAATCATGCCCGTGGCGTGGGTGTGGGAATAACCCTCCCCACGGTGCCAGGGAGACTCTCAGGGTCCACGCCTCTTTCTCAGCCTCCCTGACCTTCAGCCACGTGATCGAGGTTCAGGTTATGCGCGGACAGTGGCCACGCGGAGGTGCAGACCTGGCCCCAGGGCTGCCTCCTCAGCCCTGTTGGAGTGCAGCTCACTGCATAGGTCAGGTCTCCCTCCCCGATCCTCAGAGGGACCCACCGAGCCCCGGGGGAAGGAACCGGGGCCAAGAGAAGCCAAGGAAAGACAGGCGTCCCTGAATCAGCCCCGTGCAGCCCTTTCCCAGTGCACCCTCCCCAGTCCTCATGACAGGGCTGCTCTCGGACACATTCTCAGATTTGCTGACCAGGCCAGGAATCTTCTGTAGGATTCTCCTGCACACACCCGGGCAGAGGGACACGTCGGTGTCCTCCTCTTCCTCAGACTCAGATTACAGAATGAACAACCCATGGTGGCTCCATGCACTCCCCAACACCCCGACATTACCACAGTAAGAGCTGCAGGGCACCTCCCGAGGCCGGTGTCCGGTTAGGGTCCACATGCTCCCCGGAAATGAGCCCCTGTAGGGTGGGACCACGGGATGTCGCCTTTCAGGACCACTGAAAGGTCACACCCACAGCACAGCTCTGGGGGCCCAGGTGTTGGCTCGGACCAGGGCCAGGCCTTTGGTATCCAGGGGCGCTGGTGCCAGGACGCCTTTGAATACACAATTCACAAATCCTCAAGTCCCTTGTAGAAAATGGCACAAAATTTGCATGAAAGTGACACACATCCTCCATATACTTTAAATCACTGCTAAATTGCTTATCATCCCTAATGCAATATAAAGGCTATGCCACCAGTAATTGTATTCATTAGGGAATAATGACAAGAAAAAAATCAGTATATGGTCAGTACAGATGCTGCTCTGGTTTTTTTTGGGTTTTGTTTTGGGTTTTTTTGGTATTTTCCATGGGCAGGGGTGGAATCCGTAGATGTGGGACCCACGTTTAACCCGTGGGTCACAGATCAAGAGGCCCAGGCAGGCTGGGTGACCCCTCACAGGGGTGGCAGTTACCACTGAGGCCCGGCCCGGAAGACACCACCTTGCTCAGCTCTCACAACGCCAACCCCGGACAGACACCATCAGCCACCAGACAGGACCAGCGCTCGGCCCCCTGCAAACCCAAGGGCTCCATGGCTCCCTCCTGGCCTAGGACCGGGCCGCGGCCTTCCCTAGGACAGGTGACCCAGAAAGCAAGCCGGTGCCACGGGGGAGGCAATGGCCAAGCTGACCCTCGGCGGGAACTCTCATCCATCCACTCCCGGGACAGGTCCTCCTGGAGGCCAGCTCGGGTGCGGGGTGCAGACTCCCCGTCTCCCACAGGCTCAGAGGCTCGCGGGTGAGCTTGGATTTCACACCGTGCAACCCAGTGTCAGACGGTTACTTTTGCTATCTACAGTGGAAATGCCAGCGGCACTGCAGTTACATTTTCCTTTGAAAATGAAAGGTCTGATGAGCAAAAGCCCTAGAAACAGATCCCTGAGGGCTTCTAACGGCGGCTTTCTGCCACCTGCCCACCTCACGAGTTTTATTTATACATCACTTATTTTTTCCCCTCTAAACTAACTGGAATTCAAGACAGTTCTTAAGAATCTAACTGGCTCCAATTACAGGATGATTTCTTGGACCAGGAAGAGCTTCACATGCTCCAAGATAACCAACGAAGCCACAGTTAAAGTCCAGCCGGTGTGTCTGTCTCGCTCGGATGAGGCGTGTGCCATCTCTGCTTCGATGTGTGGAACCATCCACGTGAAAAGTCACAGGGCCACTGCCAGCACAGCCACCACGTGGGACCGGGTCTCCTCACTACAGGTGGAGAACCTCCCATCCGCAAATCCAAAACCCCAAATGGTCTGAAACCTGAGGCTTTTGAGCATCACGGTGCTCAAAAGGTTTCAGATTTGGGATTTTGGGATGAGACATTCTCACTTGGTAAAGCCTATGTAAATATCACAAAATCTGAAAACCTCCGAAATCTGGAACACTTCTGGTCCCAGTCATCTCGTATGTCCCCTAAACAGCACGGAATGACAACTATGTACACAGCGCTCATGTCATCAGGTATCATAGGCACTGGAGAGCTAAGGTGCCCGGGAAGATGCAGCCAGGTAGGAAACACTGTGCCTTGTACAGAGGCCCTGAGCAGTGCAGATCTACCCTCCAGGGGTGGGTGTCCTGGAACCGGACCCATGGACACCAAGGGACAACTGTACAACTAGAAATCCTACAAAGGCAACAATCCCCCCTCAAATGAAGACAGACACAGAGTAGACCACAGGGCAGAACTAAGAACAAACCTCACGCTTCTCCAGGAGGGGCTGGGTCAGGAGGCCCCGGGCCGGCTGCAGCTCTGCCTCCCGCAGGGGTTGCCTGTCTGGGGCTCAGCCACAGCTCTCTGGACCACCATACTCCTTTCAGGTGCAAAGCGAGAAGGCTCTCTGCAAACCCCACACCTGGAACCCACGCTGCTGCTTAGCTGGACCTCCCGGAGGGCCACTCGCCAGCGGGGACCCAGAAACAAGACTGCAGGGGCAGAGGGCTCCGAGTTCAAGACTGTTGCTTCTCCATCTCAGGGGGCCTAGAGACAGCTCAATCCCAAGCCCTCAACCTACTACTAAGAGTAAGCAGAGGTTGGGAGGCCCTTACACTGGGCCACTCAGAACCCTAAAAACACACCAGACCTGGTATCATTTTATCTCAGTGAGTCCAGGGGCTCTGAATCCAAACTCATGTCCGGAATCAGAAGGGTTTTTAACCCTCATCTGGCCACTCCTGCTCATTATTCAGAGGAGAAAACTAGGCCCAGCAAGGGGACAGAATGGCCAAAGACCTCAGGGCAGGGCCCCACAATCCCTCAGTCCGAGGCCCCTCAGCGAGGCCCCCTGGTGGTGGTCACGGTGGCCCCTCTACCACCAGCACTTAACTAAGTGCTCAGCGCTCAGCACGGCCTCAGGGCCTTTGCACCAGTGAACAGAAATAAAATCCAGGTCAAGCAAGCCAAGGATTTAACCAGTGATGCAGATTCTGAGGGCACTTAACTAACAGC